ACTATAGAAGCTACTAGTAGCAAGTGCATCGCTACTAGTATCAAGGGCACATCGCTACTAGTAGCCAGTGCATCGCTACTAGTAAAAAGGGCATCGCTACTAGTAGCAAACATCGCTACTAGTAACAAGGGCATCGCTACTAGTATGAGCAGCAGCGCTAATCAATTCATCCTGCAAGCCTATACTAGAAGCTACTAGTAGCAAGTGCACCGCTATTTATTAGTATCAAGGGCATCGCTACTAGTAGCAAGTGCATCGCTACTAGAAAAAAGGCATAGCTACTAATAAAAAGGGCCTATACTAGAAGCTACTGGTAGCAAGTGCATTGCTATTTATTAGTATCAAGGGCATCGCTACTAGTAGCAAGTGCATCGCTACTAGAAAAAAGGCATAGCTACTAATAAAAAGGGCCTATACTAGAAGCTACTGGTAGCAAGTGCATCGCTACTATACTGAAGACACACTCACCTTTAGCAGTGTGAGGCGTAGGAGTCGCGCAGCGAGCGTGCCGGCACGAGCAGTACGGTCCCAAGCAGGGCCACAGGATTCCCCGGGATTTGTGAGGCAGGCGTTGGTCCAAATTGAAGGCCCAGGGGACTGAGATTCTTTATGACAACTAAGGCACGCCAATCCAATGTTCTAAATCCACTCAGTGCTTTGTTCAAGAACTGTTGCAAGTGCAGTTGGATTAAGGTGAATTGAAACCAGTGAGAGGGTGGACACCATGCAGCGTTTGTTGCAGCATGTCGTCACACTAGACACTGTGTCGGGCGAGGTCCTGCTTAGCCAGAGTCTTGAGACCACCAACAGTGTTGGCACAGTATAGCGTTCAGAGAACGTGACATCGCTCGGTGTAGCAGCGCCAAGGACTCTCCGATGTCACCACAACGGCAAAGAGGCTGGACTCCCCTTTTCAGGGTATGTTAGATTGAAGGGATTCCAATGCCCTTCAGACTTGAGATTTGCTCGCTTTGTTGGCTTCTGAAGCAGCTGCTTGGCGCATTATTTTTGTAAGCTGACAATGACAGATCAAGAGAGTCAAGAAGACTGCGCAATGTTTATTCATATTTTTAATATTGGCACTCCTACGAAAGCCCGGAGGGTCTTTCACAAGCATGTCAGGTTTGCCCAAGCAAGCCACATTCATCGAGCCGTCGGGGTACTTTTTCCGGCTTGCAGTCTTGTTGTATAATTGCCTCAAAGCGCTTGATGAATGAATTGCATTGCATGCAAGACTACGGTGATAGATAGTGGCGACAATCTATGTTTATGCCACTTGTTTGTGCTTGAATCTCTCACAATTTATCTAGCAATCTCAGTATATAGATTGTAAGACTAGGACAAAACAGATAGACAAGCTTTGAACAACTACTGTACTACATCAAGAACGAGAAGCGAGGAGAAGTGGCGCATGATATTTTGCGAGGGAGAGGGCTACTCCAAGTGTGGAATTGAACCCCCACAGCAAAGATTGACCAAGTGTTCTATGCAGACGCGCCGATAATTGCTCAGGTCAGTGTGGCCTGACAAGTAAGAATTTCCCAGTCCAATCCAATCCCCAATGATGCTCTTGCGGCTGAGGCAGAGACCGGTGCCTTCAAGCCCTGCACGAGAGGCGTCTTGGCAGACCTGGTGGGGCCAACCATCTCAACCACCTTTTGCATTTCAACTCATGACTCATGTTCGATTGAAGGTAGATTCTTTCCTTGCAAACAAGCTTGATGACCATGCACAATTGATCAAGCGAAGATATGACACCCAGGAAGGGCCTTTGGTTTCCCGCAATAGCCACGATCCCAGCCTTTCTTGATGTGGTGTGAGCAGACGCGATAACATTAAAAAAATATATACACATACATTTTCTATGTTTACTGTCAGCAGGATGAGGGAAACCGACAAACAAACGCATGCGCACCTGATTTGAGGGTAACAGGATTGAAATGGGATGACTGACTGAAATGAAAGCACCCTTGATCCAAGTTCACAACTTCGAGGCACCGGCATGCTTTCCGCGCAGGTGCACTGGCGCCTTTTGCAGTCAACTATTTGAGGAACGTCTCAACTTGGTACTCTGTAAGGTATTGGTACTTGGAACTTTTTTAAATGTTGTTTTTCATGAGCTTGCTTTGCTAATACTTGGATGCCCCAATTGGAGAGGGTTCTCCCACGCCAAAGCAAGAGCGCATCCACATATATAAAGGTTTCGCCCCAAAGACTTGCCGAAGCATCGTGAATAATGTGAACTGGCGATACTCTGGAGGTGCGCGGCAGAGCAGTGACAAGCACTCGTACAGTCAGGTACAGTCCAAACCTTACCAAAGTTAATGACATACTGTACATCCTCCATTCTTTTGCACAGTTGTGGATAACTCAGCCTCCCAAGTCCATAGTCCATCAGTGTGCCTGATGTTCCGGCACTTCCTGGTCTCTACATCCCATGCAAAGACGCTGATTTCCTATATATGTTATGTATTTCTTTAACTTTAAGAAGTTTTGGAACGAGCTCCAATTGAAATACAGCTACAGATGATGAAAGTGCAAAACATGGGCACCTTCATTCACCTTCCTTCGTGGCCAGTCTTTGCGGCTATGTGCAGAGCTCACCCCAGCATCATGGCAGGCAAGCGGAGATCAAGGGTTGAGGGCTTTAGCTGCGTAAGGCAGCATTTGTTCCAATGACAGTTGATATGGTTACTAGATCAAGGTCCTCGCTCGAAAGGTCCGTTGATTCTTCGGGGCATTTTGTATTTATAATACTATGTATACATACATATATATACACCTGCAAAAACTTCAAAACGGTGCCTAGCTGCTACCAGCTACTAAAGTGTTCAGATCAAAACCTTGGAAGGTTTGGAAACAACTCAAAAAGGTACCAAAAAGTCAAAAAGACAACCCCTGTCATGTATTGGTCATTGGTCCTGAGATGGACTTGAAAACTTTGGCCTTGTTTTTTGGGGTACCGTCTCGAGGTTTTTGTAGGCCTTGCTTGGTCGTGGTTTGTTCGAGGTGTTTGATTGGTCTGCATGGTTTAGATTGGCTTGCTGTTCACTGCATGAATTAACTCCTGCATCAACGCCACGGCCCATGAACATTAAACTAAAGAGTTTCTATATAATTGAAAAGACATTGACTCAGAAGCACCTCCAACGGCTTGTAAGCAGTATGACCAGAACCTTTGAGGATACCTGAGAATACCCATCAAGCCAATCCAAATCAGTCACAACTTAAAGCACCTCGAAAGGGTACCACAAAATCTATCCAAACCATTTATATAAGCCGTGAAAAAACTTCGACAGGGTATCAAAACCCATCCAAACCATTCATGTTTCTTGAGGAAAGAGCGTGCGTCAAGAACATGATAAATAAAGGCAAAATAAAGGCTACGAAGAATGAGTGTCTCATTGAGACTAGGTTTCTATTGATGAACGAAACAGTTGCTAATACACTTGGAAGGTTGCTTTTTGTCTATGGAGCGGGTTTCGTTGTTTTCTCTTCAGGACACAAATTCATACCAACATATAGTGACATTGGTTTCTGTTATATTAGACTAAGTCTCCTGAACACCTGTGACAAAACGGGCTCAATGGCGTGCAATGATTTTAAGTTTTAAAGGCTTGTTTTAGGATTTCACAAGGACCCCATTCTGGTCTAAGGGCGGTAGAGCGCTCTTTTAAACAGCATCAACTTTGTAAGGCGTGATTGTGTTATGCGTTGCTTTTGTTTTATAGAACTGATTTTGTAAAAGCAAGTAGTAGACAATAGGTGTTTATTTCAATTAACATACATAGGACAAGCTTTCTACATAAAATTGCCTAGCATAATATAACAGTAAACAGTGTTAAAGCTCCACTATGATCATATGGGACTCATATTGGGATGAAGTTTGTTTTGTATGCTGGGGCTCCTTGTAGAGCAAGGCTACATTTTGAGACAATGCCACGATTTTGTGCTTCTAGGTTCCTCCAAAGAGATTGAATTCGAAGCCTAGTGAGATCTGTTGCAAACCCCACTGTTGAACAAAGCTTCCTGGTCCTAGCGGCCTGTAAAAGCATGTGGTTTTTGAGTGCTGGAAAACGGCAGCTTGCGCCTGAATTCTAGGTACCAGGGAGTGGTAGCATGTTGAAAAAATTGATATAATATCTATAAATATATATATATTATCCCCGCAAGAGACCTCGAAACACTCTAGAGGTCCAAGGTCTTAGAGGTGTAGAAGCAGAAGGTATTGGGCTGCAGAGAGATTTAGAGATGCAGAGGTCTAGATTCAGAGGTCCAGAGAGGTCTTGATATCCGGAGAGGTCTTGCGATTCACAAAGATTCTAGATGTCTAGAGGTTTAGAGGCCTAGAAAGGTCTAAAGTCCTAGAGATTGAAGAGGTGTAGAAGTTTAGAGCTCTTGGGGGTACATGTAAGAGCACCCATCTTAATGCGAGAGCACGCGTATGAGAGCACACGCGTGAGAGCACATATATGAGAGTGCGCAGAGATCAAGAGGTCTAGCTAAGATCCAGAAGATCTTAGGTCTTGTAGATAGATCCAGAGAGCTGGAGGTCTAGAGGCCTAGAAATGCAAGGGATCTTAAGATTGAGGGATCCAGACTTCTTAAAAACCAGAGCCAAAGTCTGTGCAGCATACAGAAGAGGACATGCATGAGAGCGCGCATATGAGAGCGTATGCTGCCCTGGCCACGGAATTTGCACTTCCAAGTTCACAAATACTGCGCCTGCCGCGAATTCTACACTTCAAGGTCCACACAGTGCTGCGCGTGCCACGAAATCTGCGCTTCAAGGTTCACAAAGCGTTGTCTTTGCCACGAAATCTGAAGCTCGAGGGTCACAAAGTGCTTCGCTTGCCACGAAATCTGCAAATTATGCGCCTGCCACGAAATGATTCACATCGCGCATCCCCTGCCAAGAGCGCTTCCAAAGACAACATCAAGATGCCACGACGCAGCTTTTGCCGAAGACTTCCCCTATGGTGCTATTTCTGAAAATGAACCACTACCATGTCCAGAGCGTTCCGCCTGCCGCAAAACCTGCGCATCCAACCAAAGCCGCCAAGCCCCTGCACTTGCCACGAAAAGTCGACTTTGAACTTTGACTTTGGAAGACCAAGTCCAGCTATGTGCATGGTATATCACGGCACCACAACGAGAGCGCAGTTGAGGAAAGCACCCGCTCGTGCCCACCAGTTTCTGCGAGCCTGCGCAGTCGAAATGCACTTCGAAGATTTCGAGGTGAATGAATGCACCGTAAATGCAGTAGCAGCGAATTAGCCGCCGCCGGACCCGGCATTTAACTCTTAATGTTGGATCCTGATTAGTAAAGGGGTTCCCCCCCCTCCCTCAAACAAATAGGGGACCTTCTATAATAAACTACCACCAAAGCAAATCTGGATTCCTGTGAGAATTCCTTTTTGTAGTAGTAGTAGTAGTAGTAGTAGGAGTAGTAGTAGCAGTAGAAGTAGAGCAGATCTATTTTCCAATGGAAAAATTTTTCACAATGGAGAATCCTAAAGCAAATCTATTATTGATGATCAGGTGCCTTCCTGGTCTACTTACTTACTACCTTGAAAATTTGTTTAGGAGCAATGTTTAATAAAAGAATTAAATAGGAATTGGTGGTTTTGGAAAGCTGTCAGGTTTGAAGAAACCTAGAGAAACCTATATATATCAGCTAATGCATCATAATCATTGGCCTTAGGAGCTATGTAAAGGAAGATCTCATGAGCAGATCTATTTTTCCAGTGGAAAACACTGTTCTTATCTGCTTGCCTGGGAAGGGAGGGGGGAGTGCAGGTAGACAGGGTTCAAAAGGAATTCAAACCCTTATTAATTAGGTTTCAAACCCTTATTAATTAGGTTTCCAATATAAAGAACATTAGGGTCCCCAAAAAAATTTAGCAGTATTCAGGACCACTTTTTCAATCATGGGGTCTGGAATAATTTTGGAAACATTTAGCATTATTGAGGAACCATTTACTAATCAGCGTCCAACATTACCCTAAGAACCCCTACCACCTCAGTGATCATTGTTGGGGTTTTCGGATCAAATGGGTTCTGGGAATATATACATGTTGTATGTCATGTAGAATGACTTGTGCCTTACTGAGGAACAGTCGAACGTTTCCATGGTACTTTTGTTTCTAAAAGGTTTTTTGGTTCTGGCACCTGCGTGAGCACCGGCGCTGATCGAAATCGTGTATGGTTATGATTTAGACTCATTAGTGGATACTGTATATTACTTTGATGAACCCCAACTGAGTTTGTGGGAGACTGCTGGTTTAAACGCCTTTGCAATTCGTCGGCAGCCTTTGGCCCCAGAAGTCTTCAAACAACTGTGCGTCATGCGAGTCGTGCTTTCGTTTTCTCAACGAAGATCACTGAGAGTCAGGAAGGTCCTGCGGGTTTCTTGTCTAGTTTCGTGTTTGTAGGCATGATTGGAACCATTTGGGAGCTGCCATTAATCACGTGCCATATGTGCAAGACACCCACAATGCTAGCTTTGCCGACCTAGTCAATCAACCAGTGCAGTTCATTGATGGTTCCAGTCAGTTCAGCTTGCAGGCCTCGCCGGTCCACCACAATGGAGGAGCGAAACTTGCAAGAGACAAATGAAATGCGTGTAAAACATCAGAAGAACCCACTTCTTCACTATGTATTCAGCAATGAACAAGATGCATTTGCCTTTGCAAATCCCAGCCAATTTTGCCTCGCGACAGTTGTATTTATTCAGATCAGGTCATTGAAAAAGCTATCATCACTTGGGTAAGCTAGCCAGCTATAGTTTCACGGGTTTGTGTTTTGCTGCTGGCTGGAATTGAAGGTGGTGTTCCACACTTGTGAAACCGTACGGTAAGTCCAGGATGTTTTGTTTCTTATGTAGATTCTTAAGAAAGGGACAGTAGCAGTAGTACTGTAGCACTGTAGCAGTCCGTTTGAATTCTCAGTGATTTCATTCAACCCCTACGTAAGTCAGTTGTTCTTGCTTGTCCTTGACCGGAACATGTTGGTGTTGTGTCCCACCTTCCCTCTGCCAGGAGTTTGCGGTGAGCACAGCCCAGGTCAGCCTGCTTTGGGTGCTTGAAGGAAAGAACTACGAGATTACTCTTTTTACAGCAGAATAGAAGTTGCAAGGGCACTGCCACCAGGTTACTAGGTTCGATGACTGGAGTTTCTCGTTTGTTAGTTGCTTGGATTTTTCTCAGCGGCTGGAATGAGCAGCTTAGCTGAACTACAGACCGTGTAGTGAACTTGATCAGGCCAGCAGTTGAAAGCTCAAGAGGCATCAAAAGACAGAATTTGACAGAGCGTTCACCAAGCCTTCACAGACAGAGTTTGAAGAATGAGTAAGAATGTTGCGTAAATTACATCCAACTCCTTGCAAATTGCACCTTCAAGTGGCCAAAGGTGGGCACAACTTCCGCCTTGTATGGCGATTGTTTTGTCAAGGTTTCGTGGTATCCACTCAGCATTGGCAGGTTCTGCATCGACCGAGCGGACAGCGGCGCTGAATCCTGCGGCAGATCTCTCAGACCTATATTATATAAATTAAAATGGAAATTGCAAGGTGAGTTGCTCTCAAATCCTGGCTTCCATTCTCCTGAGGTGTTGAGGAGCAGCCACTGGGCTTGCATTGACCAGAGATTGGATCGTCGCTTTTTCTGGCAGAAACGGTTTTGATTCTTCAGCAGAGACTGGACACTCATGGAGTCTTGCAGATGGAGGCAAAATCTGATAGGGACGTTTGGCCCAAGACTTGAGGATTGGGGGATCCAGGCCCTGAGGATTGGCGCAACTGCTTTTCTTCTCTTGCAGCTTGTTTAGCACAGTGTCAGGAAGCCATTCTCCAGTGCGAACTGCCCCTGCCAGAGGCAAGATTAAGATGTCAACTTTGGGAGCATTGACAAAAAGAATACATTTTCCATGACAACAGGGGTTCGAATAATTCGCAGTCCGAATTTAATTTCAGTGGGCCTGGGCCTTCGCGTCAAGAGCGACCGTACATCCAACCAGGTTCTCGTTCCAGCTGTGCCTCAAGTAGACAGGCCGGATCCTGGAGGTCATGGGTCAAAAAGCCTTTCGTGGGGGCTTGGTTGGGCCTGGCTAGTTATCCGGGCAATAGCTTTTATCGCTAGTGTCGTACTATGTTTACAGGATACTGTATTGGTTTTACTCAATAGATGGATTTTTAAGTTAACGTTTAGCAATATTTATGGGCTGTCGTCGGTGCGGAGTCTTGGGGCGAACAGGGCTCGGAAAGCATCTACTCCCTGGGTCCTTGAAGGGACCACAGTGAACCTCGTTTTGAGCCTTTGATGCTGAAAGTGCGTGAATAGCAAGCAAGCCTGGCCATGCTGAGGAATCATCACCGCTGGTGTTTACACTGTTACAGTGCCAAGAGTGCGTAAATAACATGGCTACGTGTCCTTTGTTTATACCTGTTAACCTTATGCTTGAGCTCCTCCTACCCTCGTTCGGGTGATTGGGGCCAACAAGGAGCACGTCTGCCTATCTGGAGCACGCCAAACCCACTCCGCTCACGGTCGCGTTCATCGAGAGCAGGGTTGGCAGATATACTTGTTTTGGGATATCGGTTTGGTGTCAAAAGCTTTCCATCTCACAGGCTACTGACTCCAATGCGTTTGTGTGCTTTATGGGAGACGCCCCTTCCCCAAGCGACAGGCAACGTTCCTATTTCTTGGTGACGTGCAGGTTCTTCTTCCACCTTCTCTTCCAGCAACATCTTCGCTTGCTGCCGAACCACGTTTTCTTTGTCGCTTGGCATACTCCAAACGCAGGGATATGTTTTGTGTGCGCACCACCTTCATTCCACTTTTGTTGTTTGGATGGCCAGAGAATTAGAGGTTCCTTTGAGCATGACCTGTTGTTTTTCGTGAGGTGCGCTGCCCCCAACCAAGGCAGAGGGTAAGGGAGGTCAGGGGGTCAACCGATTCAAACAAATATTGAATATGTTGTCCAGGATCTTAGGCGTCGTTTCTGTGATATACCGCGATATACCTAAAGATTGGCTGGAGTCAGGAGCCGAGATTCCCCTTCAAGTCAAGAGGCATCCAGAGTGAAAGTCCTACTGCGTCGATTTGACATGATTTAATCACGAAAGCTAGCATGCTAGCTGAGTTCTTCTTTGCTTTAGCAATGTTGTGGTGGGAGGGGCTGCGTGCCTTAAAGATTGATATATCAAGCTAACCCCCCCCCCCCC